GTGTTTGGCTGTGAACTGACGCTCGCGCAGGAAGTGGGTGCGGGGTTGCGGCAAGCCAGCTGTGGGTTGCAAGAGCAGGGAGGAGCTTCTTTTGCATGGTGCGTCGTGCGAGGAGATTCACGATTCGTGTTATGTGGCTGCGGATTATAGCGAAACACGTGCGGTAGTTTGTTGCGCAGGACGCGACGGCACGAGTGTGAGAGGGGTTTTGCAGGAGGCGGGCCTGGGTGTGGCAGGTCGTGCAGCTGTTTTCAGCGGGGACGGAGCCCAGGTGTTGGCATTGCAGCGTTCTGTAGGTGTGCGAAGGCGTCCTTGCTGTGTCGGTAGCGTCGCAGTAGTGGTCTGCGGAGTGAAGATTCTTCGCACCTGGAGACAGCAGGAGACTGTCTGGGCTTCAAAGACTCATTTCCTTTAGGTAGTGTGTCGCGAAGGAGTGCAGTGTTTGGCTGTGAACTGACGCTCGCGCAGGAAGTGGGTGCGGGGTTGCGGCAAGCCAGCTGTGGGTTGCAAGAGCAGGGAGGAGCTTCTTTTGCATGGTGCGTCGTGCGACGTGATTGGCGATTCGTGTTGTGCGGCTGCGGATTATAGCGAAACACGTGCAGTAGTTTGTTGCGCAGGACGCAACGGCACGAGTGTGAGAGGGGTTTTGCAGGAGGCGGGCCTGGGTGTAGCAGGGCGTGCAGCTGTTTTCAGCGGGGACGGAGTCCAGGTGTTGGCCTTGCAGCGTTCTGTAGGTGTGCGAAGGCGTCCTTGCTGTGTCGGTAGCGTCGCAGTAGTGGTCTGCGGAGTGAAGATTCCTCGCACCTGGAGACAGCAGGAGACTGTCTGGGCTTCAAAGACTCATTTCCTTTAGGTAGTGTGTCGCGAAGGAGTGCAGTGTTTGGCTGTGAACTGACGCTCGCGCAGGAAGTGGGTGCGGGGTTGCGGCAAGCCAGCTGTGGGTTGCAAGAGCAGGGAGGAGCTTCTTTTGCATGCTGCGTCGTGCGGGGAGATTGACGATTCGTGTTGTGTGGCTGCGGATTATAGCGAAACACGTGCGGTAGTTTGTTGCGCAGGACGCGACGGCACGAGTGTGAGAGGGGTTTTGCAGGAGGCAGGCCTGGGTGTAGCAGGTCGTGCAGCTGCTTTCAGCGGGGACGGAGTCCAGGTGTTGGCATTGCAGCGTTCTGTAGGTGTGCGAAGGCGTCCTTGCTGTGTCGGTAGCGTCGCAGTAGTGGTCTGCGGAGTGAAGATTCCTCGCACCTGGAGACAGCAGGAGACTGTCTGGGCTTCAAAGACTCATTTCCTTTAGGTAGTGTGTCGCGAAGGAGTGCAGTGTTTGGCTGTGAACTGACGCTCGCGCAGGAAGTGGGTGCGGGGTTGCGGCAAGCCAGCTGTGGGTTGCAAGAGCAGGGAGGAGCTTCTTTTGCATGGTGCGTCGTGCGAGGAGATTGACGATTCGTGTTATGTGGCTGCGGATTATAGCGAAACACGTGCGGTAGTTTGTTGCGCAGGACGCGACGGCACGAGTGTGAGAGGGGTTTTGCAGGAGGCGGGCCTGGGTGTGGCAGGTCGTGCAGCTGTTTTCAGCGGGGACGGAGTCCAGGTGTTGGCATTGCAGCGTTCTGTAGGTGTGCGAAGGCGTCCTTGCTGTGTCGGTAGCGTCGCAGTAGTGGTCTGCGGAGTGAAGATTCCTCGCACCTGGAGACAGCAGGAGACTGTCTGGGCTTCAAAGACTCATTTCCTTTAGGTAGTGTGTTGCGAAGGAGTGCAGTGTTTGGCTGTGAACTGACGCTCGCGCAGGAAGTGGGTGCGGGGTTGCGGCA